ACCTAACGAGTAGCTGCAAATAAACAAATGGTCTTGCTTACTCTCACAACTTACAGCCAAATACTGCACAACCTCCTAGCGCTGGTGCGTGTCTGGCCCCGGTTAGCCAGTTCAGAGTGCTGAACTTAGAGGAAAATAACTAATTAACTAACTAAACGCATGCCTGTGGGAAAATTCCAGATGACTGCCTGTCTCTGGAGAAGCTGTCCTAAAGTACCTCTGAGGAAGAGCCAGACCCTCAGCCGGGACTAGCAAATCTTCCCAGGGAAGGACCAAAAAGCTGCACGTGGTCAAGGATTACAAGTTACAACTCACACTCTGCATAGCGAGCTAAGAGGAGCGCCAGGATTGCTCCCCAAATGCGATGCAACCAGAGTGAAATCACTGCAATACCCATGGGGCTGAGTATACAGTGGACGCCAGGGTGACTCTGGCTTCACCCACTTCTCATGGCTTGCTGTCATCCCCACCAAGAGCTTGGGTTACCCAACAGCTGCCACCTCGGCACAGCCCCAGGGCCTTGCATGTGATATGATCCTGGTGCAGGGGCTGCACATCAGCTGCTCCTAGCTCTTTTATCTCTGACTCCCCTCACCTTCAGCAAGAGGCCACGTGTAGTACAATTATCATCTCCTTGCTTTGTGTCTTCCCAGGACAGTGGAACACCTTGGTATCCTTACTGGAGCTCAGCTCTTCTCTCTCAACAGAGAGGAGCTGAAGAAAGTGTGTGGTGATGAGGGAAACAGAGTATACAGTAAAATCACAGTGGAGAAAAACCAGCTGGAGGTAAGTAGCTTTCTGGATAACTCCTACCTGAACGGGTTCCTGTACCAGCAGTGTCAGATATCCCATTAAACAGACATGTTAAGAAACTTAATTTAAAAAACTAAAACCCCCAGCCAAAATCCACACAACCAAAAAACCACACCACCTAAAAATCATGAGAAGTTTTTTAAGGAAAAAGGCCCCAAATCTGTAAGGCAGATCACCTGTCTCCACTAATGAATCTGCCTCCTTACTGGTATCACTCATCCCTTTGAAACTAGCTCTACTCTTAAAGCATTAGTTAAATACTATAATTTAACTATAGCTTGACATTAAAATTCAAACTTCCTCTTTTGTTTCCATTCTAGAAAAGCAGAGGGGAGTCAGAGCTCCAAGAAATCATGAAGCGTCGCCAGGAAAGGATTGATTCTGCTAATTAAAATCTATCTGCTTTATTTCAGCTATTAGTCATAGTAGTGCAGAAAAAGGGAACAAAAGCAATGATCCCCAGTCCAGAAAAGAGACAGCAGTGCTCCACTTAGAGATGTAATAGCCATCAAAGTGACAATTTCTTGAACACTGTTGATAAGGGTAGACAATAAGACCACGTCCCATTGGGAAAGGTGTTTTAATATTGCATGAAGTATTTTTTTTTATAACTATATATTTTATACTGAAATTTTATGTGCATGCGATCAGAGCAGATCAGAATTCACACGTGTCTGAATGTATGACAATGGCTGGATTCAAGCAAAAAAGACCCTGCAAAGCTTTTCTCATAGGGCTGTACCTGCTCCCACCCTCCTTGCCTGCGTGGCTCAGGAAGAGAGAGCATGGCACAGAGCGCAGAACAAGCCAGCCTGAATGTTTAGAGTCTGGACCGCAGAAATAAGTCTTTTCCCCCACTTTTCATTTCTTTCTCTGTGGCAGATATCCCCCGCAGCCCACGAACAAAGGCCCTGTGACAATTCACTGTCCTCCTTCTGTCCCCTCCATGCCCCCTCGTTGGACAAGGCTGGAATTGCAACACACATGACCTAAGACTGGCTGCTTCCTTAAATACGTGTACTAGTTAGCGCTGTCTTTGAACAGTGGAAATGGGCTTTCACTGTGTAATAACGAGCAGGATCCAAGATTTGAATCTGCAAATAGGTGAGCTCAGCCTGATCACACCTGCTTACGCAAAGGCTGAGGCTCAGGGCAGCTGTGCAGCCCTTCACCTTGGCACTGATCCTGTATTGGAAAGTTGTAGTATTGCCAAAGCCAGGCCTCAAACAAGGAGACAATAAGCCCATACCGTTTGCTCCCAACCCAGTCACACCCAAAGCCTTTCCCAGGGTGTTCATCACTCATCCCCACCTTCACATTTTCATTGCAAAGAGTAATCTGAAATGCTTCCTAAATACCTAAGAAACAAAAACACACTTGGAAAGGTTGTTTTAATACAAAATAAATGGCCACAAGAAAAAAAAAAAACCAATATCTAATTTAGTAGAGGCTGTTGTTCTTCACTTCCTGTTTTTCCTAATAATGTATGTGCATATGTATACATATATATATCTCTAGTGAAATACTCCCTCACTTTTACAATCTATAAATGGGGAGGAGGAAAAAATCCCTTTCCCTAGAGACATAATTAAGTGATTATGCATCAATAATTCAGCCAAAGTTTTAAAAGCTGAAGCAAGCATATAGTAGATTTCCTGTCCACAGCAAGTTTGGCACACACTGTATTTATATCTACATTTTACTTACAGACCAACTTGATAAGAATGCAGTAAAGTACACACATCTATCTACAGGAACTGCTCACAGACTAGGAAGACTTTGTCTTTCTCTCTCTCCCATTCACACACCCTAACTTTGGTTGAATGGGAATTCAGGCCCAGACTCCACAAAGACTTACACATATGCTTTCCTTTACGTGCTGTGAATGGTCCCACCTTCTTTAAAGGTTAAGCACATGCCTAAGTCTTTGCACAATTTGAGCCTGTCCTTGCACATTTAATGGAAAAAGCTGTACAGCTCTAAAGCAGTGGCTGGGGAACACGCGTCTAAATCTGAGAATACTGATGCACTTCTCAATTTTGGCTTTGTTCTTCCAAAAATGTTTCTAATGGATGATGTATTTTCTTAAATGTTGAAATAGGACCAGCAGTATTAGGGTGCAGGCAGGGAACTTACAGAGGAGGATCATGTTTTTAGTCACAACCCTGCTGGCTTGCCACAGCGACTGGAATTTGCAAAGGGCACTTACCTTGTCAGGGAAGGATGAAGACAACAATCCTCCCGAGAAGCCTGGGCTCTGGATTAGGGTGGAGATGGGAAGCAGGTGTGAACACTGGTAAACCATTGATGTTAGAAGCACAGGAGGCTAAATAATTTCTAGAATGAAAATAAAAACAAATGATGAGCTAGGAAACACACCATTCTTGTCTTCAGGTATAAAGGAAAACAAATCACACAGAATTATAGTTACTTGGGATTATAATAGAAGCGTACGCAACAGTTCTGTAAAGCTGGGAGCCATGGGAGCATTTCGTAAAATAAATATATCAGTAGGCCTTATTGCAGAAGTCACTTTTAAAAATTTCCATATGACTGAGCTGTGCATCTGTTATATTTGTACTGCCTGCAGATAATGCTATAATGTACTGTACATTAATGTAATTGAACGAAGGATAAAATGATATAACCATGCACTGTATAAGATTTATTAAAATAGTTAAGTTATACTTATAACTTCATCTCTGTCTCAGTTGGATATAAATGAAAGCAACAGGACACAAAAACAGTCGATAAGGGCTGCTTTTCATAACGACTTGTTGCTCTAAGTTACACAGCAGAGTATCTGAAACCGCACGTTTCCTTTTGTTTCTGGGGGACTGCCGCTCAAAAGGAAGGATGTTATGGCCTTGATAATCATTCATGTCTAGAAACAGGGGTAAGTGAAAATCCCACATACAATAGCAATCAAATGCCAGGAAAGCTACCAGCTCAATCCCAAACATCCCCTTGCTCATCGTCTTGAAGAACAAATTTCTTTTACCTCTGCAGTGTGCAACTGAGACAACACGCCAGCGTTTACACACACAGATACTGTCCAAGACTACATTGTGCACTGGCAAGCTAAAAACAACTAACCCTGGTCAATGCCAGCTAATGCTGGCCAGGAATGGATATACAAGGAGGCTCCATTATTCCTTGGCAAAGGACTCTGGAGACAATAAGAACATGTTTCCTACATAGTCACAGAATTCAAGCAGGACTTAAACCCAACTCCTTTTTCCATTATCCTCTCTTTGGGTTGGACAAAGCATGAGAAGGTTGTACAAAAGCATATCCTTGTGTATCAGGAAGGGAAATCACTGTGGAAGCCTCCACAATTGGAACAATGCAAGACAAAATGAGGGGAACAGCACAATCCAAAGAGCCTCTGTTTAAAGGCCAAGGGGCAGATTCTGCAACATTTCCAGCCAAGTCCCATTCCCCATTTCAGAAGCACAACCACGTTAACAGGACCGCCTTCTCCAGAGTTTAAATGAAGCTGAGGTGAATGAACATCCGTAGGTGCCCAAGAACATGTGCCTTGCTGGGTTAGGGGGGCTCTCTCTGGCATGGCGGTGCAGGCTGCAGCCCTGGCTGACCAGCTCTGTTGAGCCTCGCCCCGACAGCGAGGGAGGAAACGCACCGTTCGGCTCCTGCAACGGGTTAACACAGGCGTGGCATGGCTGCCAGTCTTCCCTCAAGGCTGCTAAACGGGGCGACGCCTCACCCTCCCCAAACCTCCCGCCGCCATCTTGTGTCACCGGCGGAGCCTTATCCCGGAGAGGCCCCGCGGGCCCAAGAGGGACGGACGTCTGAGGGGCGGCTCGGGCGCCGTGCCCGGCCGTGAGGAGGCCTCCCTGGGGACCTCTCCTCGCCCCCAGCCCACACGGACAGCGGCTCCCCCGAGGGCCGGGCAGCCCTCGCCCCCTCGGGGCCATGGCGGGCAGGGGCAGCCGCATCCCCGTCGCCAAGGCAACCACCACCCATCCGGCCCTCACGAGCCGCCAAACCACCCAATCAGAAACTTTTTTTTCCTCCTCCTCCCGCCCTACCCCAGCTCCTCCCGGCCGCGTCCGTCATGCCCCCCCCGCTGTTTTGATTGGTTCGCCTCCTCCTTTCTGGGATGGGATTGGCTGCGGGCGGGCGGTGCGCCCCCTCCCCGCGGGCGGCGGGCGGCGGGAGCGAGCGAAGGGCGGGTGCGCGCGCAGGCCGGCTCCCCTCCGGGCAGGCAGGGTTCCTCATAGGAGGCGCGAGCCCCCCCCCACCCCGTGGATAATGTCGGTGTCTCCCGTGAAGCGGCAGAAGATGGAGTCGGTGCTGGACCAGCTCAAGCACCACACCACCGTGGTGGCCGACACCGGCGACTTCAACGGGGAGAGGCAGAGGCGGCGGCAGCGGCGGGGGGGGGGGCTGTCATCGCACACCCCCCCTCCATGGAGAGTGGGCGCGCCCGGCTGAATAGGCGAGCGCCCGAGGGGGATCGAACCACCCTGGCGGCGGCGGGGAAGTGTCGCCGTGCGCCCGGGAGGCGGCGGAGCCCCGGCCGCTCGGTTGCCGGTCGCGGCTCGTTGCGCAAGGCCGGCGTTGGGAAACGCGCCGTTACCTAACGCGGGGCGGGCGGGGGGTCGGGAAGGGCAGCCCGCAGGGAGGTCTCCGGTTACTGCCCGGTGCCGATGGCTTCTCCCGGGATCCGCTGTCCGGGTGGCGGAGCCCCGGCGGGAAGCGTGGAGCTCGGCCGGTGTCCTTCGGTGGGCTCCGCGGGTCCGCGCCGCCCGCTAATTAACGCCCCCGCGGCGGCTGCAGCATAAGGGGGTCCCGCTCCGCCGAGTCCCGAGCGAGGCCCGGCCGGCCCAGCCCGCCGGCCACCGCTTCCCCGGCTGGCACACGCTTCGCGGGAGTCCCGGCCTTGGCAGCCTGTAGGGTCGGCCCAGTCCGCGCAGAACGGCTGTCAGACCCCCCAGGGATTGTCGTTGTATTTTTTTCCCCCAGTTTGACTTAACGGTGTGCACAAAGCCCGACGGTCAGCTCCACCTGCTGTCTCTAATAAGCGCCAGGCTCGGCAAGATAAGCCCCGTGGGGCTAACAAAGTTGTTTTTTTCCAATAACCAGTGTAGATCTGGGGTTTGTTTTTGTTTTCAAATGGTGGAAGCAAAGAAAATAATGCGAGAGCGCTTTTGTTCTCCGTATCTCATCAGAATGAGCAAGCACTCCCCTTTCCGAGGAAGGGAGGTGGCGGTGTCCGATGATAAAGCCACTTGTTCCGAAGCTGTCGCTGCCTGAGCGCCCGCGCAGGCACGCAACTTTCTCGGTACATCAGAACTAAGAAATGCCTCCCCTGAACGTCTCTGGGTTGCATGGAGCAATGCTGCTCAAATCCCATTCTGCCGTCACTGAGGCCTGCAGTAATCCCATCTGCTGCTTACCTAATCCTATAGGTGATGAATAAACAATCCTAAATGGCAACCGTCAAATGTCTTATATCAGTAAACCTAAGATGAAGAGTGCACAGGGGTAGCAACAGCTCAGACACCTGCCTCGTGATGCTGTGTGTGTATTTAAATGCTTGCACTGACTCTAGGTAACGCACATCTGTTAAATACTTCGGATTGCTTGATTTCAAGTGTCAAGCTGAATGAAACAGTATGGAAAAACTGTTACTTGCCTTTAAGAGTCCGTCTGACATGAGAGACAACCACAGTACCATGAAAGGTTCAGAGCATTGATGCAGCTTTATCAAGCATTGCATCGGAAGAGTTGGAAACACTAAGTGATGAGATAACTTTAGCCTTGTCAGATTTGTGTACCTTCGAGTAGCAACAAACCTGGCTAAAGCCCAGTGTGTGCTGAAATGGTGTGAATTCAAAACATTATGCTGTCTACCCTGGTTTCAAAAAAGCATAATAAAAAGAAAAAATCCTTGCGGTGGCCGAGGGGGTGTTTGTGGACGGGCAGCAGTAAGGAGGCCGAGCGCTGTCCACTGGGAAGTTTTAACAAGCTCCCTGAAAGAGTTTTGCTGTTGATCTCTGGCTGCCTGTTGTCACCTGTGGGTCTGTCCTACTAGTCCAAAGAAGGCTACAGTCAACATCTGACTCCCTCCCTGTAAAAGTTACACACTGATGCTGGTTAAAGTGCCACTGTTGCTAATACTGGTTCCCAGTTTTGTTTATAGATAAACATGTCGGTACAGTGCTGTGTAGGAAAGGATACCGGTTTGAATGGCTCCTGAAGCAAGCAGCTGCAGTAAGTGGTGGTGGCCTCTTTAGTAGCTGCACTAGTTTGGCTTTTTAACTAAGCAGGATCAATATACGCTTACTCTTTTGCTCAGCTTTCTTTGTGCTCACAATGAGGAAAGGTGGCATAATGGTCACGGATTGCCTGCTGAAAGCTTGTACTGCACAGCTAAAACACAGGCTGCTAACTGCTTTCTGAAAGACCTAAAGGAAAACTGGGTGACAGACTTAATGAGATTAATTTATGCACATTGCCAGAGTCTTCAAATGCTGCAAGGCTGGAGAAGAGTAATATGCTCTGTCAAAACTGAGTTCTCTAAAATTGTGTGTACGCTTCAGAACTGAGTTTTGTTGGTGTACTGCTTTATTTTAAGCAGTATCCATGTGAATTGAAGTGTGTTTTGAAGGACCTGTTTGTATGGAGTGGACTTGCTCCAGGATCACGATCATTGCCTGGGAGGGAGCTATGGAAAAACAGTTCTTATTTTCTTCTATGACTGAAAAAATAAAGTTGCACTCTCTAACTTGGGTTTTCATCCCTGTGCAAAAACGCTGAGGAAAATGAGCTGGCAATAAATATTTTGTTATTTTTGACATTTAGCTGTGTTAACAAGGGAGCTTGTAAGCAGAAATCACTGAAGGGCCTGCAGAGGCTCTCCCCCATTTGCTGAGTCAGGCTCTGCATGCCAGGCAGCTTAGGGCCGGACAATGCATGGTCACAGCCTACTCTGGTAAACAACGGGTATCACCTGAAATAGGTGTAGTCCAGGGCTTAAGGTAAGCCAAAGGGTCACATACCTTCTGTAAGGAAGGAAGCCTAGCAGTACAGGGAAATTACAAGAACAGACACTAAGAAACTGTCTGCAGCTATTTGAAAAAGTTTTAAAATGCACTAAGACTCTAGCAACTTTGAAAAGATGAGTTTTGCTCCTGTTCTGGTTCTAACAGTTGTAGACAAACAAAACCCCCAAAGCCTAACTGCTAGAAGGGAAGAAAGATCCTCTCATCTTTACTTCCCCACTGTGATTCCTGGAACTCAGCCATGCTGGTGAATATGATATGGACAGATGTGAGAAACTGAAAATTAGTACCACTTCTCTTCATCTGTCACTTCTACAAGTTTATTTCTTTTGGGCAATGTCTATAGTAGTGAGTAAACTTTGCTGTATCTTACTACTGTAACTCTGTTAACCTTGTTCTGGTACTTCTGGCACAAGCCAGCTTTCAGGCAGTGGTATTTAAACATCAATGTGCACTAGTCTGCTCTATTAGGAATACTACTATCCTACAGCTGTAAGTATTTACATTCTCACACATTTGAGCAAAATCCTTTTAATTGCTCGGGCTTGCTGATTGTTTTAAACAGGCTGGTTTTATTTCCCTAGCAATTGATGAGTACAAGCCCCTGGATGCCACCACAAACCCATCTCTGATACTAGCTGCTGCTCAGATGCCAGCTTACCAGGAACTTGTGGATGATGCTGTTGCCTATGGGAAAAAACTTGGCGGGTAAGTAGAGATATTTTTTTTATCTCTGTAGGTCTATATTTAAGATACCTTATTTATACAAATAGCGTTTAGTACTGTTAGCAGTGTACTGGGGTTTTCCCATCGTGTACTCATGGGCATATCTCCTGCCCTAAAAAGCCTCAACCCTTGAAACAGATGTGCTTTGAAGAAGTGCATCTCCATTTACCAGTTCACATGCGGCCTTCTAGGACTGCTCAGGAAAACACTCTTGAGTCAGTTGACAGCATTATAGGAAATAGTGTCCAAAGGCTAATACTGCTGGTGGTGCACAGAGGGCAGAACATAAACATGGAGCAGAGCAGAAGTGGCTATTTGAATTCTGGAATTTAATGTTAAATGGGCTGTGAAATTTGATCTTCAAATCCGTGGCAAGGTGTGAATGCACTTTTTTTCTCCCTTCCCCCCCATAGAAATGATTTTGCTTTTTGTGGTTTTCAGGTCAGAAGAGGAACAGATCAAAAATGCTTGTGACAAACTCTTTGTATTATTTGGAGCTGAAATATTGAAGAGGATACCTGGCCGTGTGTCCACAGAAGTAGATGCAAGGTTGGCTCTTTTTCCTCTGGGTTATCCTGGATATTTGTACATGCAAAAAGAGACATGATGTGAGTTGGAGAAAGATGTTCTTGACTAGACAGCTCACTGTTATAAGGCTAGCAAGACTTTATATTGCTAATATTTGTTTAATTAGAGCATGGATTTCCCTTAGGTAGCTGGATAATAACTCTGTGACAAAACTTTATGAAAACAAGTAATGCTGAGCTTGGATTTTTGTAATCTTCCTGTTGGTTCTTAAACAAGGGAAACCTCATGCTTCCAGTACACTTAGTCTTGCTCATTCTCTTCTGTGTGATAAAGTCTTCTCAATTTACCAAGAGATCTGTTTTAACGGTTTATTTCAAGACTTGCATAGGATTTTTCTGTTAACCTGCTCCTTGCCAATTCACTTCTAATGCTCAGCTTCTGCATTCATTGTAGAAAACTTGAGTCTATAATTTTCTCAAGGAAAGCTATCTTGAGCTCTGGATCCTCTGAATCAAAGAGTATCAGTGCTGGCATATACCTACTTGATTGGGTCACAATCCAGGAAGTATCTATGAGAACAAAAACCTGCTATTGGCATATAAATGCTGATAAAACAGACAATGTTTTTCAGTGGGGTTTGCAGGGGACAGCATTTAAAAAAAAATAGTTTTAAGCAGTCCTGCTCTTGTTTCAAAGGTTGTCCTTTGATAAGGAAGGAATGATTCAAAGGGCCAGGCGCCTCATTGACCTTTATAAGGAAGCAGGAATTGGTAAAGATCGTATTCTCATAAAGCTCTCTTCAACATGGGAAGGAATCCAGGCTGGCAAGTAAGTATTTCTGTACTTGGTATGCTGATTCATAGCACGCTTCTGCCTGTTCACAGGCACCTGACAAACGCATTCTGCACTTAAAGAATTGTTTTGAAAGCACGGCACCAGGAAATCTGTTACTAGGGCTACAGCTAGCAAGCAAGGTGCTCTGGTACAGCTTTCTGTTGAGATAGGAAAAGTTTGTTCATACAAGGGCCAGGCCACATAGTTTCCTGAAATATCATCCTAAGTTTTCTGCATTTGGTTCAAGAAACAGCATTAAATAAAGCAGAGTCTGGCAGCGCAAAACATTTGCTGTTAGCTTAAAACTTTAAAGCTTATAAACTGTACCACATTCCTAATTTAACTCAAGAAATTCAGTGGTTTTAACCCACTAGCTTGGTACTAGAATATAAATTCAGTAGCTGTTTTAAGCCAGCCTATGTCTGCAGGGTTCTGGAAGCAGAGTATGGGATTCACTGCAACATGACCTTGCTGTTCTCCTTTGCTCAGGCAGTTGCCTGTGCTGAAGCTGGAGTTACTCTGATTTCCCCATTCGTAGGACGTATCCTGGATTGGTATGTTGCAAATGGAGATAAAAAAACCTATGAGCCTTCAGAGGACCCAGGTAAGCTTTCCTTTTGACATGTTGTTAAATACAATAGCTACTCATTCAAACTGCAGTTTACTCATACAAATCCTCTTATGAAAAAATGTTGGGTTTGAGCTTTTGATGCTCTAAATAATCATTTGTACTTCAAATGAGTATTTCTGAAAGTTGCTGATTTCTCCTCTCTAGGAGTGAAGAGTGTCACTAAGATCTACAACTACTACAAAAAGTTTGGCTACAAAACTATTGTGATGGGTGCTTCGTTTCGAAATACAGGAGAAATAAAAGCGCTTACAGGCTGTGACTATCTCACTATTTCACCCAAGCTTTTGGCAGAGCTCAGCAAGGAGTATGTCAAGTTAACTCCCACACTCAGTGTAAAAGAGGGTAAGTCCACTTCTATGTAACATGGACTTGCTCAGTCTCCCTTTATTCTCGACTGTTACAAGTCTGTGTTTTCATTTGGCTTTGTGGTGCTTGCTTCCACTCTGCTTTAAGGGTAAGTCTTGACCCCTCTGTAAAGGAAATACTGTAGCCTCACTACAACAGTAGTGCTACAGTTGCTGATGCACATAGTTGCTTCTTTAGGGTCTTGGGTCCCACTGAGTACACTAACTGGAATTATGATGGGTTTTGAGTGTGCCTAAATACCGTGCACCCTCTCCTGAGAGGACAGGGAGAGTAGAAGGTACTTTATACTTCATATATGTGGGAAGAAATACTGAATATTAGCAAAGACACCAAACCTCATTTAATCTTATGTTAATATTGCATCAGTGATGCAATTGGCTCTAGATGTGCCAAAAGGTGTGTTTTCCCTCTAGAAACGAATCATATGCAAGACTAAGTGATTTGATCTAGTGATACTGTGCCATGATGGCTTTGAATGTATGTTCCCATAGCACTACTCTTCCTTTTGTGTAGACTTATTAAAATGCTATTTTACAACTCAAAAGATGAGATTTGTGCACAGCTGTAGTCATGGGTTGCTGCTCACAGGCTGCTAGCTGGCTTGTAGGCCTGTTATCAATTCAGCTTTTGTTAGGTACTGCCAAATAATCAAAGACCTAATTGTTCAGCATATTTGCTTAGAATGTCTCACTGCGGTAGGACTGTTGCATAATTCTTTCTAATGGGCCTGAAGTACCATTCAGAAGCAGATACAAGATAACAGCATACACAAACATTGTATTTTAAGAAAAACTGATTATCTAGGCTACACTTTTTTTCCCCAAAAAAAACAGATCAGGAGCATTTTCAATCTTGCAACCCAAAGCATGCTTCTGTAGCAAGTCATGTTGAAAGTGGTGTTTGAAATTTTTCAACAGATAGAGATGGTCAGAATCTTGAGACTGGTTTAGGAAGCCTGTGATATTTGATAATAATCTGATAATATGGTTTGTCTCTTTTTCAATTCCCCTTGCACAGCTCAGGCATGTGAGCTTCAGAAGATCCACCTGGATGAGAAGGCATTCCGCTGGCACCATAATGAAGACCAAATGGCTGTGGAGAAATTATCTGATGGGATCAGAAAATTTGCTGCAGATGCAATTAAGCTGGAGAGGATGTTAAAGGTAGATGTTTTATCATGCTGCCTCTTGCCATCTCTCATGTTCCTCCCAAGTACTGCAGCTAACCTGCAGTTCTTTGTGGTATGGCTAAGGATTAGGAACCTGTAAGCAAGTCTGATCAGGTATTTATACAGGCAGTACACGTTATGCAGGACAGGCAGCTAGCAAACTGGCCACCTAAATTAAGTGAAATCAGTAAACTTCACTGCATCTCATGAAAGAATTCATGCCAGATGTCTACAGCCACACCTGCTGTTTGAGGCCCAAGGCAGTGTTTAGACTGGCAGCTAATCAAAATAACACTACTGTCAAAGTGAAAAGTCCCTTAAGTCTAATTCTAAACTCGTTAGCTGTCAGCAGTGTACAAGACACAATCTTCAGATAGTGAGCTGGAAATAAATCATGCTTGTACTTGGCACTAGGAAGCACCAAGAACAGGTATGCTGAGTATAGCCAGGCCATATGAAAGTCTTCTCTCAGCTTGTGGAGAGTCTTTCAACTGGGATTAATTGAACTGTGTGGTTTGGGGGTGAGAGGGCAGAAATACACACCACATGTAGCTGATCTAGGTACTTACTCTTGTTGACTAACAACTATTTAGTAGTGACTTAAGCCTGCACTGCTAAAGCACAGTTCCTAAACTTACTCAGCTGCTGTTTGTTTTCTTCTCTCTTTCTAGGAGAGAATGTTCAGTGCTGAAAATGGAAAGTAGAAAAATCAGAATCTTCCTGAGTGGTCAAGGCTGAATGAGTGGATCACCTGGGGTTAAATGGATGTACAAATGTCTTACCTGTAAAAGTCTTATGCTATGTATGGATAGATTTCTGTATCATGCTTTTTTATCAATTTGCAAAGGGACAAATAGAATTTCAAATTTTTGTGGCACTTTTGTCAATACATGCAAATTAACACAGACTTACCTTGTAATGTGTTCATTTCACTGCTGCAGGAAACACCTGACATAGTATTTTAATTGTTTAACTTTTTGTATTAAATTCCTAATTAAGTCTACAGTCCTAATACATTAAGAAAGCAGTTTTGTCTTTCATGCTGTTTTACTGTGATTAAAGACAAGACACAGGTTTCAAAAGCCCTCCTTGGTACAAAACCCACAAGTACTCTTATAAGACATATATGTATGTATACACACTAAATCAATATAGTTTAGTCCCTTTCTTTCTTCATTCTGCAGGCAAGGTAGCACCAGTAGTGACTTACTGGTTGGCAAACCTAGTGAAAGCCATCATAATTAATATTTCAAGGCTTTTTAACAGGGCAGGGGAAGCTGTATCATAAGCAATTTTTAGGAGTTTTGTCAAATACCAGTTTTGTTTATGACTTGCCTAAGAGCCCAAAGCAAGGTAACAGCAAGAGGATGGAATTGAAGCTGAAAATGCCACTGCGATTACAACACAGGCATAAACTACAAGTACCCTGATGCAGTTAATTTTGAAAGTGTAGCCTTCAATAACATGTCTCAAGCAGTTAATAACTTGATAATTGGTTAATCTGAACTGACAGAGTGAACATGTGGATACAACTGAAGACTGTCTGTTAGAGCTTTGTATATTGTCTTTGGAGGAGTTACTGCTTTTCTTTATGCAATAGTCATGGAATTGCTGCCAACCCTACCCCAAAAATGAGGGGGGTTTGTTTGGGTTGTTTGTGGTTGTTTTGGTTTTTTTTTTTTTAAGTTCTATCACACCCCTCCTTTTCTCATTTGCAAAAGCAGTGGCTTAAGGACAAAGAAGAAGAGCCATGTGGCAGCCTTCCTCAGGAATGACCTAATCCTAATGCAGCACTTACCAATTACAGGGCTTTCTATTAAATTGGGATGCATGTGATTACATTTTATGCTGTGTATTTCCTTAAGACTAATTAAATATATCTCTTATTAGTTCTTAGTGGTCCAGTTCCATCAAGAGTAGACAAGAACAAGTGATAGGACAAGAGGAAATGGCCTCAAGTTGTGCCAGGGGAGGTTTAGATTGGATATTAGGAAATTTTTTTTCACCAAAAGGGTTATTGAGCATTGGAACAGGATGCCCAGGGAAGTGGTGGAGTCACCATCCCTGGAGGTATTTAAAAGATGTGTAGATGTGGCACTTAAGGACATGGTTTAGTGGTGGACTTGGCAGTGCTAGGCTTACAGATAACTCAATGATCTTCAAGCTCCTTTCCAACCTAAATGATTCTATGATTCTAACAGGTTCCTTGTTTATATTGTTTCCTGATAAAGCTGCCTGAACTTAACCTCTTAAAAGAAAAAAAGGCAATACTGAGGCTACAATACTTATACACACATGCAATATCCAGCTTGAATAATACAATAAAAACAAGCCAAGGGAACAACTGGGTCAGTAGCATCAGTGTGACACAGCAGCACTATTGTCAGGACATTGCCATAACAACCTGGGAACCATTGTTTCAGCCACAGTGACAGCTGGCTGTACGCTCACAGACCAGATGCAGGTCTGATAATGGAACCATATCAGACATCTATGTGGTGTTGCATCCTCCCAGCCTTGCCCTGGACCTGCCCCACACAGGCTTGGGAATAGTGCCAGTCCACCAGAGGGAGATGAAGCCTCCTCAGGGGACTGATCTAGACCCCTCCGCTCTACAGGTGTAGGTAACGGTGAGAAGCAGGCAACAGTAGAAAGCAAGCTGTCCAGAGGGAGGTGACCTTTCTCCCTTCCTTCAAAGGTCAAGCTAGCATTAAAAGCTTTACCCTGCCCCCACCTCCCTACACTGTGCCACACAGCCATCTGACCTACCACAGCGATTTAGATCACTATACTCATTACAAACTGTTAACAGAGTATTTGTACCCTGCTGAAAAGGAAACAACTGCAAGTACAGCAGAGGTGCCAAGTACAAGTCTGTAGGCTCTCTGCTTTGGCTCTAGCTTTCTCAACATCTGTATTCTGCTCCAGAATGAGATGAGGGGAGGTGTAGCTTCTCAGCAGACAACAATTTTCAAAACAGGCAAAAGTTTGGCTCCAACTGTTAACAGTTACAGAAGTATGAAGTCATGACTTCCTCAGGCAAGAGAATGAGACTTGCAGCCAGTCCAGAATTACAATTCCCTGGGATAGCTTTAATAAAGCTGCACAGCACCATTGTGAGAGCTGCAGAGATGGTAGACCAGTGAGACCCATGGCAAGCCAGAGCAACCAGAGATGACTTCTGAAAGGTAACAACTCATGAGCAGGCACTTCAACAGGTTTTCCAAAAACTGCTATTACCATAGTCAGAACAAATGACAGGGTAGGATGGGGATCCTCAGCCAGACAAAAATATTTCCCCACAACAAAGAGCCTACTTAATCTAGCAAACTGTGCACATTAAACACAATGTCAGTGATGAAGAGCCCAAGTATTTCTCATATTCTGAAGAGGAAGATCTGGGGCTGTAGAAGTGACAAATACAAAACTGCTGTATAGAGAGACCTGTTGCAGTTGTTGCTGGTCTCCCTGAAAAATGGATCTTTCTTACTCACATTCACTGACAGGTGATAAGCCTCTCTACAGGCTATAACTTCACCTGGATAGCTGGATGATTCTCAGCCTGCCATGGCTTGTCTTACACCAAGGCAAGCATGTCCTAATGCCTGACTTCTTAGCAAAGGAATTAGGAGGTATTTTAGGCCACTATTGCATTCTTACAGGTGGAAGGGTTCAGGCATGATTATACTGCAGAGAAGCTGCATGAAGCCAAGCTACCTGAGTTAGCACTGACCCCAGCTGACCAGTCCTCAGACCAGTTTCATTCTTGATGCAACACAGAAGGACCATCTGTCTGAACTTTGCATTTACCAGCCCACTGGTGTCAACAGGAATCTTTTTGTTGATTCCTTTAGCTGAGTCATTCTCCTGAGATTTGTACCTATTTGGCATTAAAGGAAAAAAAAAAAAACCACACCAAAAAAACCCAAAACATTCCAAGGCAATGCAGTGCTGTCAGGTAGCCCTGGGGCACCAGCACATCTTTTCTGCAGAAGAACATGGAGAGCTACATGCCAGTTTCTTGAAACAGCTCAGCTATGCATCTGCATCTGATGTACAATCATTTCTCTGCATCTGTCCTAGGCTTTAGCTGCTACTAACAAAGGTCAAATCCAGAAGTAGCTCAAGAGACAATAAAATACTGCAGTGAAAGGGGAAGAGGAGGCCCGAAAGGGTGCCTCAGTAACAGTCAAACCTTACTCCGCATACCTACAGACACATGGTCCCCTCAAGAGCTGAGGGGACAGGAGATGCACAAGTTATGCTTAAAATGTTCACTGTCACAGGATCGCTTACCTGCTCTGGTAGCAGCTGCAGTTTCCCACTTCAGCACTGGGGCTTTTTCTCTTCAGCACAGTCTACATGTTGTGAGGTGACTGATGTACGTGGCTAAGTCACAAAGTCCACATTCATTATGAAATGGAGCAAAAACCCAACAACCACATAAACCTTCAGCCTATATATCCGTTTATCCAATCTCACAAGAGGAAAGCAAGATCTTCACACTTGGTGTTTGGGGATGGAGTTTGCTGGTGGCTGAGGAGGAACGCAAAGGTCTGTATAGAGCAGTACCACCATCTTGTGGGGAGGCTGCAACATCCCACAGCACCTCTGCCTTTCCAAGAGTCACAAAGCAGCAACTTACTGATAAGCACAAATTACAAAGTTATCAACCTTCCCTTGTGGTGGCAGCTCTCTAATTTCAACATCCAGCTCTATGCAAACAGGCAAAGCTTGGGGCAGGGAGGTTAGAAAAGCTTTTCCTTCCTCTTTCAGCTCCCTCTTGCATTCTGTGATGCAATGTGCTAAGGGAGACATGCTGCTGCTCCCAACAGTTGCTCTCAGTACCTTCTGTATTCCTGAAACAAGGGTATGAGGGGAGAGGTACAAGAGAGCAGAGCTGCTGGGAGAACAGCCACTAGGGTCCACAGCACTGACATAGTAAGTACATTCATTTATTTTCAGCCTCCCAATGCAGAATTTCACTTTAAAAGTAGTCCTTAGAGATTAATTTATAAGGACTATCAAATACAGCCATCATAGGCTATTACAGACTACATTAAACAACCCAGACAGTATCTGATATGTACCATTTGAAATTTCAAGGCAAATCAGGATCAAGGAGTCTCTTCCATTTATTCTGGTACTTGTTTTGATGCATTGGCATTACAGAGGAGAAATTAGTGCCCCAGTGTTCCCAGCTGCCTAGTCCCAGCAGGATGACAGGTCAGCTTTTGACAGTCTTCAGCATCCTAGGGGACAACATGGAGATCCCAGACAGGGGAACTGAGGGAGAACACTGACCCTCAAGCTGAAATGAAATGCCCTAAAGACCTAGAAGTCTGCATTTGACAAAAGGCTCCTTTTATCTCTTGCTAGTATTAAACACTCTAGCACTACAGAGGACACAAGGCACTGCGTGTAGCCTTTTAGGACAGTGATGTGACAGGTACAGCAGCCAGGTAATTTCTTAGAGTTGTGGGACTCAGTCCTACTACATTACCCCATTTGGCTCACTGCTGTTGTTTAGGGCAAGCACACAAGCAAAGCCCAATGATTCTCAGTTAATTGTCACTGCTGTGGCAGCAACAGCCTACAAGGGAACTCAAAGCTGACAGTAGTCCACACTAAGGAAAGTGGACAACCCTGTACAAAGCCAAAAGGGCTGTTCCATCAGCAATGGAACAGAAGTCAGTTTAAACAGAAAAGCACTCTGATACCCAGAATCAAATGGCAGAGCTTATCACACAGGACCTAAGACAAAGCAGAAGGTTCAATTTTTTTTATTTTTTAAAAGATTATACTGTGGAAGCTCCAGGAAAAGAATCTTATTTAAACATTTTAATACACTAATGGAATGCTAGTATGACTAAAAACTATTAGCTGCAGATGGCGACAAGGACTGAGTTCAAACATCCTGTAAGGGATCCCTTAAAACAAGCAAATGCTTTGTTAAGTGTTCTGAAGAGACAACACTTCCTCTCATCAGAAAAGCTGAATCTGCCTAAGTTGTCTCTGACACCTTCTCCAGCTTCAGAGGATCTAAGCTACCTCCACTGACTGCAGCTACAGTATCAAGCTATAGGAGAGGTATGGTAGCACAGAGGACTCGTGATCAAAGCCCAGGTTGTTGGGGATTTGGCCATTCCTCGTCAGCTTTTGTGTCAGTCATTGATCTCTTTTGCCCTGTAAACATTAGGTTAGTCAAACTAGAAAGACAACCTTTCCATTATTGTTACAGCCAAAACTTAAATTGGATTAAAATGCAAAAAGTATCAAAACAGAGATCACACCCACAAGCAGGGCTCAGGGCTCACTCCAACTGCTGCAAATCAGTTTGCAAATATTTTGTGTTCAACCGTTTTGAGCATCCCTCATCACAACTTATGTGTAAAACTGCCAGTAAAGGCTCCTATTACCTTAAAGGTGTTCTCTAACTTTCCTTTATTCCCTGCAGGGACCAATACACAGCTTTAGTGGTGAGTGTGATGCTGGCATCCACAGTGATGTGTTGTCTTCTTGTTGGCAAAGAAATCTTTTGTGGGGGTGCAATACTGAAATGTTTCTTTACAGCTGCAAGCCAGCTGCTGTAAAGATTATCCTAGGGTTAAATCATCTGAGAAAGCCCCTTGTCCCTTTGGATTCATCCAACAAACGTTTCTGCTCCATGTATTGCAGAGGCACTCTGAAGTATCTGGTAGAAGCATCAATGTCTGCCCATAAGAACATCAGAGGAAAACATAAAATACGCTCCCATGCATTAAGCCCAAACAAGATGTAACACTCTTCACATATGTGGTTCCCTAAATAAAAAATAAAAATCAGCAGCTGGATGTTATCAGAAACAGACAGACTTCTAAGGAAATAAGCCTGGCTGTTAACATCCCTAGGACCAAAGCACCAAGCGCTCCAGAGCGCAACACTGAAACAATCAGGATTTGTGTGGGTTGAAAATCTCAGGAATTTGAAGCTTTCAATCTGTTTGAGAAGCAGTTTCTGGCTTTGGGACAAAAGGGCCCATCATGTGGTTTAAATGCCAGAATCCTCTATAAACAACTGATCACAAACACAGTAAAACACCAAACATTTGCAAACATTGCCAAAAGCTCATCCTCCCTGCAGTGTTCCAACTGCAACACTCAAAGCAGGTAGAGGGGAAAACCACACTGCAGAACACCTGCTAAATGAGTATGTCAAGAGCTGGCACATTTGGAGGACTCCTGATACTGCCTCTAGCTGATTTCTCACCAGTTCAAGTCAGTTACACATGATTTCTAAGCCAAATCACTGGATGGATCATGAACACATATCTTTACATTTGAATTAATTTTAAGCTAAAGATTAGCACATGGTGGTGAAGCAGAGACAACACTAACTACACCACAAGCTAAGACATTGATAAAGGTCAACAGGTACAAGGCAGTAAGCAGCAGCATCTCATCTATGCTAATGCCCCCCCTCCCAAAACCCAGATGCTGTTATTTGTCACAGCCTTGCTATGCATAATTGGGTAAAAAAAAGCATTTAAAATTGGGACACTGAGCAGTTTGAGCACACTATTCTTACAACTAGGGAAAGGAGAATACATGCCAATTTAAGGCATGAAGTTTTAGTCAAGTGCTAGAAGACAAACTCAGGATAAATACTGCTACTCGGATGCCTTGGATGTGATATTTCACTGGCCTGCTTCTCCATTTGACCAGGAAGGAAGCACAGCACACAAGGTACAGAAGATACAAAATGAGGTATTCAAATTCTTCACACAGGAAGTTTAAAATTCAAAACTTATCCAAAAGTCATTACCCTTTCTGTAACATCACTTCATGATTTTAGTTGATGTAAATACCTTTTAAGCAAAAGGCAGAAAACAACAAAATATCAAGTGTTACATTTGTAGAACAAAATTAACATGGAACTAAAGCAGGGAAGTATGCTACAATAACCCAAGCTATAGACATGCTGTTGCCTTCAAAGCCTGTACTTCAACCCTGCTACTTTTAGTTTCAAAATAAATACGAGTTACAGAAATAGCCTGATGCATTGTTGAAAATTTTTGTGGAGTCAAGAGACTTACTGCTGCATTGAAAGATCTTCCAAAATGAAGAACTAAATGAAAACTTATGAAAGGCCATCAACTCTATGTATCATTCCTAAGAGTGCAATTAATTCTGTATGCATATGGTAAAGAAAAGTAGTCAAATGATAACAAGCAAATATTATCGATACAGCCTTCACATTTTAATCCACTGACATAACACCTCCTCCAAAATAAACACAATAAAACTCTGAATGTATCTGGCATGACATTAAACAGCTTCACATGTTTTCTACTTTACCTCCTTTTCCTACAGTTTTAGAATCATTTTTTCCAATCCTTAGCTAAAATTGATCATACTATATGAGAACTTAGAAGAGCTATCATCACTAATTGCTCACAATTTGTCAGCATAATTTCTAAAGATAACACAATGCTAGCCTACCATCCACATGAGAGGGTTGTTTTATCACTAAGTTCCTTGCTCAGGCAATCACTGGAGTCTAGGGCATGAAGCTTCACCTCCTCTATTTAAAGAAAGTTTTTGGTGGCAGAGTGTCTCCTTGCTGTAGGTACAGTGTTCAAGACAAAATGATCCCAACTCCAAATACTACTGCAGTACAAATACAGAAACTTTCCACATCATTTCAGTGGACAGCCCACCAGAAATCCAGACAGAAAGTATGCCATGATGGTGACAGAGGTCAACAAGTCCCTAAGACTTGTCAGGAATGAGGATTTAAGCTATCAAAGCTATTTGGTAGTTTAATTTATATCAAAGCCCAATTTTAATTTCAAATGCCAATTTTAATTTCTATCAAAGCCAAAAATCTGTAAGCTGGGCTCCAAAATAACAGAAGATGACTCAACAAATCTCATAGCAGATTATCTTTTAAAATCACACCAAATTCTTGAGACAGAACTAAAAAATTTAATTTCTACAGAAAAGGCATAAAATTACCCTGCTTGGTGACTGGTTATAACCAATATATAATATTATCCTGTTAAGAAAAAACAGCCAACCACAAAGGTCCTTTCCCTCACAGAGCACTGCAGAAATGTTGCCCTCAGTTCCAAGAGTGAAGGAAAAATGTTAATCTGTCTACTTTCCCATAGATTTAGTATCTTTGAGCCTACAACATTGAAAAATATTCTCGGTCTGATTACTCCATTCCATGCTCAACTTTAGCCACATCTGCTGCTCAAAAGGAAAGAGAAGGCCAGATTTCATCTTACAGTTGTCTCCTCAAAAGATGTGATCCACACTAGCTGCCTACATTTTTTACTTCCTCTGTCCATAAAATTGCAGCAAGAGACAACCACAATGTACTTGTCAGAGAGAAATATTTCAAAGAGAACAAAAGTCATAACAGAAGCACCACAAAGGAGAACAGATAACCAGTTAGAAGACCATTTAAAAACAGCTGAGCAAACTTTTTAAACAGAAGCCCAATAACATGAACAGGCAAGGAAGAAAACAAGGGCACATTATGCCAACAGTATCACCACAGTGAGCTGCCTTCAAACAACTGATTCTGCTTTATTCAGAGTTTAGCTAAACATTTTCCATACTATTCCAAGTATATCCAAGTGTCCCAGACACATTCAGAGTTCAGACAGTAACTTTGTGACCTACCAAAAAAAGAGTGAGAATGCATCTGAAATTGCATTTCATTGAAGCTCTAGGTGTAGATTTTCATATTTGAAACACAAACACCAGATGGTTCACAGAGTTCCAAGTACTCTTTGGGGCAGAGTTAATAATCAGTATAATGTTAGCCTAGAGCAGGGTCTTCAGCTTCAGCAATTTGTATTCACAGCACCAACTTTTTTTGAACAAGAGACAGTTCCCACATCTGTAAATTAAGGGTCTAGAAAGAAGCAGTGAAAAAAGATGTAGCAACAAAAATGCAAGGTGGTTTCATAATTGCTTCTGAAGTGTGATGCACTTCAAAGTTTTCTTATTCACAACCTTCATGCATTCTATATATGCAAAACCTGACATTGCCACTTCACTGTCACAGTCACTTCATAGTCCAGGACAGAAATTAAGAGGGATGTTTTATCCAGTTAACAGACAAGAAAATCCTTAGCCTGCTGGCTCTTCATCCATCCTATTTGCAAAGAGACCTGCTCCTTCATTTCCTGCTGAATGAAACACATCCAAACATCACAGGACCTGTTAGTCCACAGCCAGGAAAGGACTTCTAACACACATTCACCTGAACAAAAGAAGATTTTTATGGTTATTTATATGTGTTCTTCTATCTGACAAGATGAAAGACAGTCAAACAGCCAAGACATTACCAAAGAAATTAAATCTATTCATCCCCAGAATCCTAAAACATAGCTGACTAAATGCCAACTTGCCAAAGCACAAAAAACAACACACAAGAGATGGCTCTCTTAACAGAAATGTTGTTAGACCTATTCTGCATTTTACTTTACCAGTCCTGATAGATAGATGTGCATTTCCCAACCCACTTTACCTTTGTTTTTAATAATCACAAATGCTTTTTACTAAAAAGATAACCAACTGAATAACTAGGTCAAACAAAGACAACACACACTTCAGCAGTTAACCTAAGCAAAAAAATTCTTTTGGGGGACAATATTCCTGAAACTAAAAGATGCTCACCACTGTCTGCTCCTAGTTCTTATTTCCCATATTACCTCACCTGACATTGCAAAGAATAAGAAGATTCTGGACCGCAGGAAGAGTGGAATTCTCATTCTGTCCTGTCACCAGGTGCCTGTCCAGCACAACATGTACAGCATCTGGACTGCTGGCTAAATACAGGAGAAAAGCAACAAGCATTGTGTTAGTGGACACTACTTCACTGTCAATATCACATCTCTGATAGAACTAACACAAAAGATAACTATATTGACCAGATATATTTGCTGGGTGACTGACATGCTAATCTATAATCCCAACAGATAAGGACAATCTCAAGCCCCTAATTCTGAAACAATTTCACTAGACAGTCTTTCTCTGGAAGGACAGCAGGACTGGTCCCTTGATTCAATTAACACCAGATGGGTAAAGTGCATATATCAAGAGATTTTGGTAATAAAACCCTCAAAGTATGTATTTTAAAGTTGTAATTACCCTGCAATACAATATGAACTCTTCTTATGTAAGACATCAAAGTTGTAATCACGATGCTACAAAGAGCCTGCAGGAAGATACTTATTTTTTGGCCAATTCTAATACCCCAATGTGTTATTATCTACCAGCAATTGTTCAGTACTCCAACTAGTATTTTTAAGTTACCTCATTCCAGATAGAACCATTATTTTGTCAGTACTGAACAACTCCTATTTTCTTCTCCCTCTCCCAGCCAGTGACTGTCTAAACACAGGCTAAATGCCTTCAAACCCCACATGCTTTTCCTCTTGCTTAATTTGTCAGTACCATTGCAACCAAGCATATGTTAACATAACAGGTACCACTGAGACACCAGCTTTTAAACTGTCAGTACTGAAGCCACTATGCAGAAGGTGGTGGAGCAGCTCATTTGAAACACAAATATTCATTTTCAAAACACAGCCACAAAACATGAAGACCTGGACAACAAGAGAGTGACATACCACTAAATGTAGCTCCAGAATCTTTCACGAAATCTTCCACAATAATGGACAAACTGGCAAAATTAGGCTGCCTTACTAGTTCATACACAGAGGGCTGAAAAAGATCAAAAGGAAATAAGTCTGTCTTGCTTCTTATAAAAAAAGGCAAGCAACACCAACACGTACTTCCCCCTGCAATTTGTTTTTCTGTTCCCCCTACGATTCTCCCAACAGGAAATTAAACAGAAATGAAGCATAAAACCAAATGACTACAAGCAGCTTCTATGGGTTTTCTATAGGGAGCAAACTGAAAGTTCTTAAGTGAGACAAAAAGAATGACACCAAGAAATTTCTGCACATCAACTGGACACTGAACAGCGTGCATGCTACTAGCTTCATGAAAGCACAGATCTGTTTGGCTGTTGGACACAAACATTTGGACACAAGTGCTGTGCCACTTGCAGAGTCCAAATAACAGTACTCTGCTTTGGAATGAATATGGGAAACAGCTTAAATGAAGAAGAGAAAAATTAAGAGTACTTAGTTCAGTTTTTATATGCACAGGAGGAAACTGAATTTTATGGCTTCCATAGCAACTGTAACTAGGCCACACCATGCCTTATTTAAAATATTTTATCATGGATTGTAACACCAAATACAAGCACATCAGGACATTGATAGCTTTTGTGAGTCCCATAAACTTAATTTCTTAACCGTGCATGTAAATTTTCAACCCTAGAAGTTGTACTAGAGGTTTGCATCATCTTGGCACACAGGTACAACTGCCATATAAATGGTCTGTGAGGTCAGAGATATAGCTGTACATTAAATAAAGCATCAACAGTATCTGGCTACTTTTTGAATTACAAGCCAGTTTGTTCAAATAGCCTTTTTTCCTAAAACTTCCTCTACCTTTTAAAACGAAAGGGCACCTGGAGAAATATAACTTACCCCCAAGCATTCATGAAACCAAAAAAAGTAATTCTTAAAAGCCTTCAACTATGAATCTGAAGAGTTGCAGCAGTCATTTCCAGCATTTTATTGGTTCAGTTTAAAGTGTACTGAACAATCGGAAGGAAAACAGCCTTCACATGACAGCTAAGTGAGACAATCCCTTCATGCACTCAGTGTTGGGCCCCCTTGCCAATGACAACTCTCCACATCTTGCACATAAACCAAGGGTACCAAACTGATGACTTATATTTGTAGGAATTTCTAGGATAAGGCCAGAAATGCCAGCACCTGAAATCACAGGCCCACACACACCAAAAAAATCCCCCAAACAGCAAAAGTCTGGTGAAAGCTCAACCTACCCCTGTCAGGCTGTATCCCTGAAATACCCAGGATTTATCCTCATTGGTGGCACAACACAAAGCTGCAACTCCATGTCCAACCGCACAGATAGGCTCTAGAGAAAAACCAAAGCATATTTGAGAAGTTGAGAGAATCTTCAAACAGCCAAAACACAGATGAGCATCCATGAGATTCTTCATGTTAAAGTATGTTGCCTTCCTGCAGTAAAATTATACTGCACTGTTTATACTCTCTTAGGCTGTAAGGTTTTTCCTGCACACTACAGTAAGACTTGCCCCAGTCTTGCAAAGAGTTACTAGCTGTTAACTCCAAGTCCAGAGACAGCACCAGTCAAAAACACATACTGAATGAGAAGCACACACACAAGTCTTGATTCTACAGCCTTAATAATGATCCTGGTACATTGCACCTTTGGCTCTGAACCGTGAATCCTACTGACTTGGAGAGAACAATTTCTGTACCACTGTAAGGCAGAGAACCCTCTTCTGACAAAAGCATTGAAAAGCTACCTCCATATTTTTATATATATTTACATAAAGAGGATACTTTTTAAGAGAGGATACATTTCTCTAAAACAGCTCTTTCCAGTACTGAATGCTCTCCAACTATGTAAACATTTTTAAGTCATTGGAAGGTAACAGTCTTACATGACCAGTACAGTAGTACTGTTTTATTTAACAAAATATCTAATGACGTTCACCTACTGTTCTCAGTGCTGAAGTGCTGCAATATCTTAGCCAGGTACCCACTGTTTGCAAGGTCAGTCATAGCCCCAGGACAGTTTGGAATCAGTAACGCATGGTATCTAGCACCTAGTAAGGAGAAAAAGATAAACTAATTGTAATACGAGCAACAAACAAAAAAGTTTGACCATACATAATAAATCCATTTCAGATTTGACAAAATTAATACCACATAAGTCAGTCAAAAACTGTACAAACTGAATGAACTAAAGAAATTAACAGATCTATGTGGAGTAGAGAAAAAAGTCCTTTTTAGGACAAAGAACATACATTTTTTTAGTGAGACCTTCTTACCCAGGCAAAGCTTAAAACCACTGTCTGCTAGCTTCTACTTTAGCAAAATATTTATTTTAAAAAAAACCCTATATATAATGTGTGTATATATAAACACACACACAAGAGAGAACATATATATCGTGTGTATATCTATACACTAAAAGAGAATTACCAACCCAAGATAAATAAGAAAATAACAACTGTAGTTGCCATGACTTCCTCCTAAGTGAAAAAAAAAAAAGCAAGCAACTGTAGTTGCCAGGGCTTCCTCTTAAAACACAAGTTTTATGCCTTTTTTGTGTCATTCTTCCCTAAAGACCTAACTCTAAGAAGCATCTGTTTTCCTGATAAATGGAGATGACACACTGGCCAACAGTAAAACCCTTACCATCAATCGACTCCAACTTGGCAGGGTTTGCATACGATTTCATACGAAAATCCTGTATCCAGCGCATGTTGCTCTCGTTCACATCCACGAAATCAATTGACTTCCCCTAGGGGAAACATGGTTCAAAGACTGTGGTTAGTATCACCACACAAACATCCACTATACTTCTTGAATCATAATCATGTGGGATTTTGAGATACTTCAGCTCTCAAAAACCTGAAGTCTTCCATTCTTCCTACTGAAGTAGTTCTTCTAATAGTTCTCCCTCCACTCTTCATGGGTAGCAGACACTGGACAGAGAATTTCAGAACCATACTATAGGAAGCATGCATTCACTTCAAGATTAAGAAAACAGAATTAAAAAAAAAAGTTCCTTAATCTGTAAAGTACAACAAAACACTTCTCAAAAATATTTAGGATAATTCTCTCTCATCAATTGAGATGTTAATTGGTTTCAGACTGAAATCACAGTAACTGCCCTTTCTTACTTACCCCAGGAGTCGCAACTTGCAGATTAAAAGCAGAGCTAGTCAGTGTAAAGCAGTGAAGGAAGGACTGGGCTGACACACCTGAAAAACAGAGTCCAACAACTTAAGCAAACAACAGTTACATTTTAATCCCAGCCACACTAGCTCATTTTATCTAGAAAAGCACACGAGCTTGGCTTTTTGCTCATCTTGGAAGCTCTCAATAATTTCAGAGGGTTATTTTAAGACGTAAGAAACGCACAGCCGTCATTATAGGGGAGCTACGTGTTGAGAAATACATGATGAAGGTATTCTGCTTGTCCGGGTTGGGAAGGTTACAGGGAGGGCAGAAGGGAAGGGAATTTGGCTTCCTCCAGGTATACACCCAAGCGCAGCTCAGCAGCATGCGTGCTCGGAAGCAGGCGGGCGCAGAGGGGCAAAACCAGGAGGTATTCAGCAGCACAGCTGAATACTCAGCAGCATGCGTGCTCCGAAGCAGGTGTCGCCGAGGAGCAGCTGTGGGAAGCCAGCGCATCTGGGCGCCACGCAGGTGCAGGGGCAGCGTGGGCGAACTCCCGCCTGCCCGCACACCTCAGCCGCGGCGACTCGTCACGCACAGCCGAGATCCACGCCTGCAAACGCGCGGCACGGGCACACGCGTGCAAAAAAAAAAGCAAACAAAAAACGTGCAAAACGCGGGGCACACCACCGAGGAGCGGGCAAAGGGGCCCCCGCGGGCAGGGGAACGGCCACACAGCGCGGCCGTCGCACCCCGGGGAACGGAGGGGATGGCGGGGGGAGGCGGCCGCCGGGGACTCGCAGGCCGGAGAAGCCCACACGGCCGGGCGAGACCGGTGCGCTGAAGGGAGAAGCGGGGCCCGGTGGGGGGCCCACCGATAGCGTCTCACCCGCGGCAGCGGCGCTGGCGACGATAAGGCAGGGGGGCCTGCCGAGCCGGTCCGACATGGCGCGGGGCGCGGCGGAGCCCGGCGGCG